ACTAAATGATAGAACAGTGAAGTTAAGCATTAAAGACACAAATCCAAGATACTGCAAAGCTAGAGTTCCACCTTATGCAATGAGGAATAAAATTGAAAATGAGCTAAGTAGATTGGAATCTAATGGCATTATAAAGAAGGTAGACTATTCCGATTGGGCAACGCCCATTGTGCCAGTGTTAAAGAAGGATGGTTCTATAAGAATTTGTGGAGATTATAAAACTACACTGAATAAGCAAATAGAGCTAAATAGGTACCCTATACCTAACATTGAGGAAATTTCTTTGAATTTGGCAGGAGGAGACAAATTCACTGAATTAGACTTTAGTCATGCTTACACTCAACTAGAACTGCATCCAGATTCAAAAGTCTATACGACAATAAACACACATAAAGGACTCTACCAATATGAAAGACTATGTTTTGGCATATCATCTAGCCCTGGAATTTTCCAAGCTGTCATGGACAGTATTTTTAAGGACATTCCAAATGTTTGTGTGTACTTTGACAATGTGTACATAACTGGTAAGAATGACACTGAACATCTTAAAACACTTGATAAAGTATTAAAAATTGTTGGTGAAAAAGGTTTAAAGATAAACAAAGATAAATGTCAATTCATGCTGACAGAAATTAGTTTTCTTGGTTATATATTAAGCAAGCAAGGCATCAGACCTCAACCTGAGAAAACAAAAGCCATTAAAGAAGCACCCAAACCTGAAAATACCCAACAACTAAGAGCTTTTTTGGGCTTGATAAATTACTATGCAAAGTTCATAGGAAATCTGTCTGGTAAACTATCACCACTGTACAAGCTGCTACAGAAAAATGCAACTTGGCACTGGGGTAAACAACAAGAAGCTGCTTTTAATACAGCAAAAGAGGCTTTGTCTGCTGACACCTTACTAACTCACTATGACCCAGGGAAAAGACTTATATTAACATGTGATGCTTCACCAGATGGTGTAGGAGCAGTCTTGTCCCACATGGATGAGAAGGGTGACAGACCCATTGCTTTTGCCAGTAGATCTTTGAACCAGGCTGAGAAAAATTATTCTCAGTTAGATAGGGAAGGCTTAGGCATCATTTTTGGTGTTAAGAAATTTCATAAGTTTCTGTTTGGTAGGAAGTTCACCATCTTTACAGATCATAAACCATTGCTAGGTTTATTTGGAGAAAACAAAACCCTACCTGAGCATGCCTCACCAAGAATTCAAAGATGGGCTATCACACTAACTGCATACAATTATGAATTGAAATACAAACCTGGATCTGAGAATAGTGCAGATAGTCTTAGTAGATTACCTTTAAAAAAACCAAAGCCTGAGCTATGTACCAGAAGATGTATTTGTTCTCTTCACTATCATGGATAACTCCAATATAAATGTGAATGATATTAAAAGAGAAACACAAAAAGATGAGTGCTTAATAAAAGTATATGAGTACTGTAAGAATGGTTGGCCTGAAGAGTCTGTGAATGATGACTAAAAGCCATATAAAATAAGAAATAAAAACCTTTGTGAAGATAATATAAAAGATGGAGAAGATGCAGTCCATCATCAGTCAGAGTTGCCTAAACAAAGTATTTGTAACTTAATAAATGATTATGGTGATATGGCAATTTCAAATGTTTTAATTTAAAGAGAATACATTAGTAAGAAGGAATGTGATCATCAAACAACTTTGTTAACATCATTAGCACTTACAGAAACTAAAAGGGTAACATCAAAAGAAAAAGATTTTTGCCATTTAATACACCCACTTCAAATACTGGATCACAGTTGCAAAGTGATATGGTCCAGAATATTACTCATAAACAGTATTTTTGATTACCAGGAAAGCACTATCAGATTACCTGAGAAAATTGATCAATCAAAGAAATCTATGTCAGTCAAGGATCTGAATAACAGCATAATACTTTCAGATGCCAATTCAAAAATAGTTCCATTAAATCATGACAAGACATTCATTGAAAGAGAATTTGGTGTTAATAAGAATGTGTATCTAAGAAATTATGGGAGAAAGGAAAAATGGATACCAGGTCAAATTGTTCAATCTACAGGACCTGTGCCTTATAAAGTTAAAAATAACTTGTGCAGATAATAAGTGTGAATCTGTCAATCCCACCAAATCTGAACAGTTCACACCAACTCAGTGTTCCACAACCAAGTTCTGTTGATATGAGTGAACCAAGTTGTCTAGAGTCAGAAAATGTAAATTCTGGAGTTAATGATTTAAATCCTAGACCTCCTGAGATAGAGAATCCAGATGGTCAGAATCTTGAGTCACCAAATCAGAAGCCACTGAGAAGGTCAAGCAGGACAATCAAAGTCCCAAATAAGTTAGACCTATGATTCTAAAGGTCAAAAGGACTTTGACATTATTGTTTTGTATTTTGATTATGTTGTGGCATATTGTGCATTGTTTGTAAGGATGTAATCTACCATAGTGTTCATGTTACAATATAATTGGTGATTTTAGGATACTATCAATTGTTCTATTGAGAGATGTGTTATTGTGTTCTAAGGGTAAAGGGATGTAATAGATTGAAATAATTGTGAGGTCAAGGGAACTCACTCTTCTGTATTAGTTATATTTATAATATTGTTATCTTGAGTGATGTCCCTTGTGCATTGTACTTCCGTCCTTGCCGGTTAACAATTAAAGCTGTTTACATACTCATGGCTTCTGTCTCCGTTGTATTCATAATCTACCTCAGCCCCTCGTACATTAAAGCCACCATAGTACAAGTACTAGGTCAGGGGTCGGCAACCTGCGGCTCGCGAGCCGCATGCGGCTCTTTTGATATTAAGATGCGGCTCTCCAGCTCCTTGAACAAATACTAATAATCTTAATAAAAAAATTAAATATTTGAAATAAAAAAATGTTAGTGGCTCTTTAAAACCAGGGAAATGTTGAAAATTGTAACTTTTGGCTCTTCCGCTTCAAAAGGTTGCCGACCCCTGTACTAGGTGACTCTTCTCGAGAGCTTTGTGCAATCGAGGGATGTGTGGGCGCAACACCACACGATCTTTTGCATTCGATGCCTCGGTGACCAACTTCTCAACCCCGGCAGCCAGCTCTAAAAAGGGCTAGCCCAGGGGTCGGCAACCTGCGGCTCGCGAGCCGCATGCGGCTCTTTTGATGTCAAGATGCGGCTCTTCAGCTCGATGAACAAATAAAAATAATTATTTTATTTTATTTTTAAAACTCATAAAAGTATTAGTCTGCAACACTCTGTAATGAACGATATAATAATCAATATAAATAGTAAACACTCGCTATTCTATTAGAATATTTAGTGACTCGATATTTCAATGTAGACCTACTTCCTTGGTTCCTAAAACTGAGTTATTTAAATATAAAGAATGCCTATGTTTGGATCATATTTATCGGGGCACTAGCGCCCACCACCATGGCGTGCTGTGTGAAAGCCTTGAGTGTAAGTTAATCACTCACCGTAATATCACCGTTAATCACTCACCGACGGTAAGTGGCGCTCTCGTGAATCCGATAACACTACCGCCGAGGCGTCGCGTAGCCCCTAGCTCGGTTTAATTATCAAATGTCGTATTGTAGGGTGCTCGTTAAAACTAAGGTAGGCGCTTAGTGCTCACGGGATAGCCCTGGGCGCCGAATCGCACCCTGCAGTGACGCCGGAGGACGCGCCAAATTCAATTTATAACAACCTATTGTATCCATAGCCTATCGCGCTGTTTAAAATGAACGTATTGTTGCCTATCGTGTCTATAGTGTACATCCTTTTAAAAAAAACAATGTAGGCGCTGTAGTGCTCGTAGGGTCGCCCAATGGACGAAGCGCCGGCGGTTGCGTCTGTTGCAGTTTTGCCGCGGAATATAGTAGTACCCCTTACCCGCTATGCAGAACGCCCGATTAACGGATGTCAAGTACTAACATAGCCGCTCTGGAACTCTGGGCGCCAAAACGTGTATTGACAAAAAATGCACCACCCGGGCGCCGCCCATAAGAAATTTTTTTTTTCGCAGCAATCTTCCCGGGAGTATTTTCACCTTCTCTCCAAAATTTCATGGCACTCGGATAAACTGTGTCGAACCGCATGTAACTTTTTTTATCGTATATAGATAAAAATCGCACCTCTACCCCCTTGGGGCGCCGCCCTTGCGTAATTTAAAACTTTTTTACTTAACCTCCCTAGGAGTATTCTCAACAATTTTCCCAAATTACATGGCGATCGGATGAAAGGTGTAGTAATGCATAAAAGAAAAACTGACACACACACACATAAACACACACACACAAACACACATACATTGTTTTATATATATATATATATATATATATATATATATATATATATATATATATATATATATATATATATACCTAATCCTAATTAAAGATCATAACATTAATAATAATAATAGTATAAAAATGTTGGCGGCTCTTTAAAAACTTGGAAATTTAGTAAATTGTAACTTTTGGCTCTTCTGTCTCAAAAGGTTGCCGACCCCTGGGCTAGCCAACCAAATGACTAAGATTTATGTAGATCCATAACAGATACTACACTTTGATCTTAGCAATAGGCCGAGAAGCGTTGTATCCAAGTCATTAACATTTTTTTTTTTTTTTTTTTTTTTTTTTTTTTGAAAAAGGTTTTTTATTGTTCAAAGCATCAATTTTTCACTTCGACACAAGTCAGAAAAAAATACCTTAGTCCACAAATGTCATTTTATGTTTGTGTTAAATATACAGTAGCACACAAAAACCATTGGATTGCTCTTCATGTGTCTACACAAACATCACATAAAAGTTGACTGAAATGTTACTGTCTACTGTCCAGCAATCCATGTCAAATGTTATTCACTATTCAGAGACCCCCCTCCTATCATCTCTGGGACACTAGAAATTTAATTTATCCTAACTAAAGTGTAAATAAAGTGAGAGAGATGAAAAAATGCAATGAGTACAACATTAATAAGGAGAATGACAGAACAGATCATTTAACACAAAATCTGCACATCAATATTCCTGTGTTTAATTTACTTGAGTCTTAAAAACAGTCAATTCTATACAACATTCCAAGTGCAATAGTACTATAAATCTCCCAGGAATAAACTGAAATAAATCGGCCAGTCAACAGAGTTGCAACTTAAAACAGTGGGCAATCCTAACCGTATAAACAGGCAACAAGTTTGTTTAAAGATCTTCTTCATCATCAGGCAGGGCTGTTTCTTGTGCCACCCTCAATTCATCTTCATATTTACGAGCAAGAGCAGCATCCATCTGGACTTCTGGTGGGATGAGAGCAGGCATTTCAACAAACTCCAGATTGGGGTCTCCTACCAATTTCCTTGCCAACCACAAGAAGGGTTTCTCAAAGTTGTAATTACTCTTTGCACTGATGTCATAGTACTGCAAGTTCTTCTTCCTATGGAAAACGATTGTTTTGGCTTTGACTTTCCTGTCTTTAATATCCACTTTGTTACCACAGAGCACAATAGGTATGTTTTCACAGACTCTGACCAAGTCTCTGTGCCAGTTGGGAACATTTTTGTATGTGACGCGAGATGTGACATCAAACATGATAATGGCACACTGACCTTGAATGTAATAACCATCTCGAAGGCCTCCAAATTTTTCTTGACCAGCAGTGTCCCAAACATTGAACTTTATGGGCCCTCTACTTGTGTGAAAAACTAAAGGGTGGACCTCAACTCCCAAAGTAGCAACATATTTCTTTTCAAACTCTCCAGTCTTGTGACGCTTGACAAATGTAGTCTTACCCACACCACCGTCTCCAACAAGAACCAACTTAAAAGTGGGTATATCGTCCATCTGCGCCATTGGTATCTGGGCCTAACGAGAGGATATTTCAGTTACAGAAAAAGTACAAGGCCAAGTCATTAACATAATATTTTTTTTTTTTTTTTTTTTTTTATGTGACTAAAAACAAAGGATTTTAATCAAGTTTCCAGATACAATGCATGATGAAAAAAATGTATGTATGCTTCTTTCTTTCCATACAAGGAATGCATTCAATGCCACCAAATCTAGTCATATAAATAAACAATTTTTTAAAGTCATTAACATAATAGTGTTTACAACCTCTGCAAATTGATGCATGCAACACTGATGATTTATGTACTTCTTTTATATTATAAAATTATTTTAATAAAGCTAATGGTTCATTATTCAAATTAAAATTATATAATAATTAAAACTTATATATTTTTAAAAAATATAATAATTTTCTTAAAAAAAAAAACCTTTAATTTTTGTTTATTTAATTAACAGAAAATGAAAGTAAATTTTATTTGATTGAAATTAAAATTCTCTTCTCAATATTTAATAACATTTGGTAACATATTTGAGATAGTTTCCCTTTGATATTTTAAATTTATAACTTGGAAAGTAACTAAAACAAATCACAGCAAAACAGTTCTAAAATAGTTTGACATTGCAATGTACCTAGACGTAATAAACAATTACACAATACATTGTGATCTTGAATAACATAATAATTTTAATATAAAAGAGACCTATATACATACATTTTAAAATTTGTTTTTTTAATTTAATGGGTGTTTTGGTTATTTGCACACAATGCATGCAATCAGTGTTTCTTCCAGACTTTTTTCTCCGGGGGGGCACTTGAAATCTTCGGGGGGGGGGGGGGGGGGGAGCGGTAAACTTTCTTCGGGGGGGGGGCGGACACTCTTAAAAGTATATATTTTCTATATAAATTATATACATGTCATTTCGTTCGGGGGGGGGGGCGGTAAAAAAAGCCCCCCCGAAGAGATGCCTGGAAGAAACTCTGCATGCAATATTTGTGTCGCTTACATAATGCTACTCATTGCTTTTAAGTAGCCACTATTTTGTCGTCTGAAAGTCTCGAGTTCAAACCCGGGTTAGATAAAGTAAAAACGGCTGGGCATAGTGCTGACCACATTATCCCTTCGTATGTGAGGTCAAGAAATATAATACTAGTATATACGTAATATAAACATTTATAACAACTGATATTAGTGTAAGTTAGATTAGACCCATCATGACAGTTCAAGACAGTTACTAACTGCTCTAAATGGTCAATGTAAATAAAAATATTTTCAAATAGTTTTTATTTTCTTAAGCATACCTTCTTCTTCTTCGTTCTTAATTTTAGTGTTGGAAGCGCTTCTCTCCATCACAGTTAAATAGTAGATCTATTTGTTATGTTAATAATTGTTAATAAGTCAACTTGATTTGCACCGTGTGGGCCATTTACTCCGATGTAAGCTTTTTTTTTTGGATTTGTTTCCATAGCCTTTGTCCAACCAAGACAAAACTACAAGGCAGCAGTTGTTTGATTTTGGATTTGTCTCTCCTAGTAGAGTGACTGTTCCCAGCAAACGAGCCTCATTTACCCGTGTGTTCGAACTCGAGACTTTTCGGTTTAGCAACCGTGAGCTTTACCGACTCGACCACGCCGACCTTCTTAGAGCATGTCAAAAACTTACTCTTAGATAAGTACCGATAGCTCTAGGCAGAGGCGTAGCGACCCTTCCCGGCGCCCGGGGACAAACTTTCAATTTGGCGCGCCCCTCGGGAGCAAATTTTCGATTTGCACCCACCCCCCTCAAATTTTCGATTTGCACCCCCCCCCTCAAACTTTCGATTTGCACCCCCCCCCCCCCTTCAAACTGCTCTAGGACTCAAAGGTGTAACATTTCTTTCAAAGTTAACATTCGTATACCGAATCCAGAGATATTATCCGTTTTTAATACGGGTTATACCCGGATGGTACGGCGTGGCTGGGAGATAGAGCTAAGTCTCGAGTTCGAATCCTGGACCTTATTCCACCCAATTTTGATGAGCATCTGGCTCATGTTAGGTAAAGTAAAGGTGAGCAAACTATCGCTTTTATAAGTCGTGGTCACTGGTCACAGAAACATGTAAACTCTACTTCATCTGCCCTATGATAACTATACAACTGACCAGAACCGTTTAATACGACAGTCATCGTTATGACCACAAATAAGCCTTCAGCACAATACATGTCAACTGGATGTATCTGACCATAGATTGATAGAAGGCGGATGTGTTCACAACTACGGGCTGTTACTTCTAGTCAATGAACTTAACGAATTAGACAATTAATTAAAACAATATATATGAAAATAGGATACTTTTTACATCTTTAAACATGATTAACATAATATTCGGAGGCAAAACGTTTACTTTTTATCTATATATTTTAAAAAAAAATACGTTTTGTATTTAAAAAGTACCTCCCCCCTCCCCTCCGTCACACGTCGTCAGAAAAAGCCAGATCCCCCCCCCCCTAATATGACATCACAACTCAGCCTACAACCCCCCCCCCCCCCCTCAAAATTGCAGTTGCATTTTTTAAAACATCGATATTTTTCTAAAATCTTGTCTGAACTCTGTCAACATAGAGTATTTTAATCAATTCCTACTACAATTTATTAAAACAGTTTTCTAAAACGCGAAATAACGTCTAAAATTCGTTTTCTAACATTGCATTTTGATAATGCAAAAGTGTGACGTCGCACCATCTGAACCCCCCCCCCCCCCCTCCCCCTCATCACTCACCGTCACAAAATTACGGACCCCCTCCCCCTACGAGTATGACGTCATTTATTAGGAAACATTGGTCTAGAGCAGGGGTCTCCAAACTTTTCAGACCGAGGGCCGCATTGACTATCAAATATCAGTTCGGGGGCCAGAGTTTCTTCAAGGCATATCCTCGGTGTTATGGAGCCCCCCCCCCTCGAAAAACGTCCACCGCCCCGCCCCCCCCCCCATTAAAATATAATTTACATAGAAATATATACACATTTCAAGTGCCCCCCCCCCCAAAAAAAAAAAGAAAAAATCTGAAAGAAACACTGTCGGTGGCCGACAACACACTCGAGGTCCAAGTTTGCTCTCAAATTATTCTTCACGTATTCTATATCTATGGTTGAGCCCATGTGACCATATTAAATTCGCCATCTTCACCACAGGATTCAGTACACTGCTTATTTCCATATATTTAGCACCCAAAGCTTGCTGATGAATAATAGAGTGCAAGAGCATTGGTTGTAGAAAATTTTCTCATTCGCTTGTCCAACCAATCCTTTCTTTATGCCACTCATGTACTTTCCCCCATCAACAGCCAGGTATCTGAGGTTAGTCCAGGTTATAATCAGCAAATGTTTTCTTTGACTCATTGAATATATCGTCTCCGGTACCAGTGCCATACATATTATGTAGTGAAGCCTGCTCTTGTGTTATGTTCTTGTCTTCATCCACACCTCTAATAAACACAAGAAGTTGAGAGGTGGAACAGCTGTCCAGCAACTCATCCATTGCAATTAAAAAATAGTGAAACGTGCTTGCATTTTTCGCTATTTGAGTCACGATGTTTTCACTAATGTCTGCAACACGGTGGGCAAAGGTATTTGCACCCAAAGCAACATTTTAAAATTGTTTTGAATTTTCTGGGCAAAGTTCCTCAGCCACCTCTAACAGACATTTTTTTCCGTGGACAAAAGGATCTCCGCGGGCCGGATGAGAGGACCTTGCGGGCCGCATCCGGCCCGCGGGCCGTAGTTTGGAGACCCCTGGTCTGGAGGTAGAATGCGCGATTACTGACTTAAGAGTTATATCTGTCTTGAAACACTTGCTTGTACCCCGACTAAACTTACCTTCAAATCATGTATGATAAAGAGAATTGTTTTACATTTTTGTTTTATTGAAATTTTTGTTTTTTACTTCCCTTTAATAATAGCAAAGGTAGCTAACCTATAACAATGTGCCAAAATTAATTTTAAAAAATATCAACAGAGAAGTGCACTGGTAATAAAATTAAAATTACTTTTTATTTTATTAAAGTAAAAATTTGGGTCTATTCTGAATATTGCTTATTTAGAGTTTGTTTATCGTTTATATTTATTTAAAACTCAAATAATTCTTAAACCTTAGTTTTTATTAAAAAAACTGTTAGCCTTAATTAATACTGAATTTAACTTGTTCTAGTTGGTTACAGAAGTGTACCTCGCTGGTTAATTTTATTTTTCAAACAAGTCTCAAGCAAAATCCAAAATACAATAGCACTTTGTAAATTTAGTTCAACAACAATTTTTGCTAGACTCTAGGTCACGGGTTCCCAACCTGGGGGTCGCGACCCCCCGGGGGGTCGCGAAGGTCTTTCTGGGGGGGTCGCCAACTGGTATGCTAAACCTTAGTAATTTGAAACAAAACATAAATATTTAGAAGAATTTTTGAAATTCGGCTTTATTAACATCACTGGAAATGTAATAGAGAAGAAACAAAGAGCACTGTATAAAGTTGTTCTCAGTCACGAATCTTATGAAATCTTCAAAACTAAAACACCATTTCAGACGAGTCATTCGGAACACACCAAAAAATATATGGAGTTCTTTCGTCGGTAAGAAGCTAGTTGCAAACGCCAGAGACTTGATCGAACAGGAAGTTTTCACCAGCATTATCGCCAGCATCAAATAAAGTCGCGAAAGAAAATGCCAAGCAAAAAAAAAACAAAAAAAACAAACAATAGGAGAAAATCTCATCAAAAGCTGCATGTACGTAAATGTTAAATAACACATTTTTATCGAAATTAAGCTTTCACCATTGTTTGCTTTTCAAGTTGATAAATCAACAGACGTGAGTTCGTGTTCGCAGTTGCTGGTCTGTGTCTATATTCATACGGATGATAGCAAAGAAGAGTTGCTCTTTTGTGAAGATAGCATGGAGAAAATAAATACCTTTTTTGAAACTGGATGATTAAAATGGGTTAGAACGGCTGTGGGGGTTTGTACGGATGGTGCGCCATCTATGTTTAGCTCAAAATCGGGCTTTCAGAAAACAGAAAAGATTTAGCTCC